TGAGTAAAAAATTATTCAAGACCAATATTTTGCAATTTTTAGTAATTAATATCTTGTTAACTATTGCGAAAATTGCAAAATGGTAGAGGACTTTTCGACTCAGTTTAGTCCGCTCTATCTACACAAAAGTAATTGGCAAAAAATTAGTCGGGACACCCTGTATATTGGGTTAGGAATAAAGTCTTTTTACTTATAGCCGATAGATGGAAAACTGGTCGATTTTTTACTATTGTGTAATGTATTAGGTTACATATCGTTGAAAAGATGCTATTTCATATAACATTTTGAAATAGATTGATCTTAGATTTGAACAATACTGACGTATTCGATCAAATTTGAAAATGAGTGAAAATTAGGAATATTTTTGACACATTTTATTTTTTTATTATGAAAAAGGGAAGAAACGCTGTGCAAACCGCAGAAAAAATTTGTTGTGTTTGTAAAGAGAATGCTCTAACTAGATAAACAGCAGCGAATTGGTTTCGCCGATTTCAAGATGGAAATTTCGATGTCAAAGATGCACATCGTTTTGATCGGCCTATTGTGAAAAATATCGATAAAATCTTCCAAAAAATTGAAGAAAATCGTCATGTGAGCAGCTATGACATAGCTAAGGAACTAAACATTGATCATAAAACCGTTTTGGGGCACTTACATAAGGCTGGATACACAAAAAAGTTCAATGTTTGAATGCTACATGATTTGATGGTAAAAAATGTAATGAATCGAATTTCTATTTGCGAATTGCTGTTGAAACAAAATGGAATTGAGCCTTTTCTGAAAAGATTGATAACGGACGATGAAAAATGGATAACGTATGATAATAATGTTCGAAAGGGATCGTGGTCGAAACGAGGTGAAGGACCACAAACAATCGCAAAGCTCAGCTTGACGCCAAAGAAGGTGATGCTGTGTGTCTCGTGAGACTGGAAAGGAGTCATCCATTATGAACTGCTGCCGCCAGGTAAAACGATTGTGTCTGATCTCTACTGTGAACAACTAATGCGATTGGAGTAATCCATTCAAGAAAAGCGGCCAGAATTGATTAATAAAAAAGGCGTTGTCTTCCATCATGACAACGCTAAGCTACATCTCTGATGACTCAACAAAAATTGAGAGTTTGGCTTGGGAAGTCTTGATGCATCCACCGTATAATCCTGACTTTGCACCGTACGATTACCATTTGTTTCGGTCTTTGCAGAACTTCCTTAATGAAATAAACTTAACTTCAAAAGAGTCCTACAAAAATCATTCATCTTGGTTTCTTACCTAGAAATCATAGAAGTTCTACGTCGATGGAATAATGGCTTTATTCGAAAAATGTCAAAAGGTCATCGACCAAAACGGCACA